ATGTGAGTTCATACTCTAACAATCCAGTACCCTTGATGTCGGGGTATAGATATATCAAATAAAATGTTGAAAGCCTTAAACCACCAATGATGTTGTAAGTGGCTAAACTGCTAAAACATCTCACTTTGTCTATGGGTGAGCATAATCATAGATACTCTTGGCCCACGAGAGTTAAAAATGTGTACGGCAAGCTCCTGGCCCACATGAGTTAAAACTGTGTACGGCACCCCACTTTTTTTTAGATTACCAATTCAAATGGTACCTATGAACTACGTTTGACTTGATCTCCTTCATATATAGGAGTACGTAGGCAGCTCAAAAGTGTCATTTTTGAGTTCAGTTATAACAAAACAAAACCTATTTAAGTTTTTTTTTAAAGGGAGGATATCAGCAAAAGGATTACGAAAAACAAAGTCATATCGGGATGTGGGAGTTCTCAGGTCTGCGCCTCACCTGAAATTGATTAAGTTCAATTTTGAACATCATCTTCTATCAGCGCCATTAACTTTACAGTGTATCAAGCTGCGCCACACTATCCTTCACACCAACGAAGTGATCGGTCTTCACACTGGCAAAGTAGCCAGACTTCAAACCAGCAAAGTGGTCATCTTTCAAACTGGAGAAATGGCCAACCTTCATAAACGGTGAAATGACCGCTCTTCATAAATGGCATCAGTAAGGCTTCGTATTCACAGGACTTCAACAAAATTCTTTAAATCGGTGCCATCCCAACAAAGGGCTAAGCAGCACCAACGATCGGGAATCGGCCTAATCCCTTAAATCAGTGCCATCCCAACAAAGGGCTAAGCGGCACCGATGATCGGAAATCGGCTTAATTCTTCAAATCGGCGTCATCCCAACAAAGGGCTAAGCAGCACCGGCGATCGGGAATCAGCCTAATCCTTTAAATCAGTGCCATCCCAACAAAGGGCTAAGCGGCACCGACAATCGGAAATCGGCTTAATTCTTCAAATCGGCGCCATCCCAACAAAGGGCTAAGCAGCACCGACGATCGGGAATCGGCCCAATCCTTTAAATCAGTGCCATCCCAACAAAGGGCTAAGCGGCACCGACGATCGGAAATCGGCTTAATTCTTCAAATCGGCGTCATCCCAACAAAGGGCTCCAAGCGACACAAAAAAAAACGGTAATCGGCCTAATTCTTCGAATCGGTGCCTTCCCAACAAAGGGCTAAGCAGCACCGACGATCAGGAATCGGCCTAATCAGTGCCATCCCAACAAAGGGCTAAACAACACCGAGATCGGCAATCGGCCTAATTCTTCAAATCGGTGCCATCCCAACAAAGGGCTAAGCAGCACCGACAATCGGGAATCGGCCTAATTCTTTAAATCGGTGCCATCCCAACAAAGGGCTAAGCAGCACCAGCAACCGGCAATCGGTCAAACTCCTTTCTCTTCAACAATTGGCACCATGATCAAATCATTTGTAGTAGACAGTCGGGCCTCTTCATTATTTTAATAGCTCTATTTGATGAAGAAAGTCCAAGTCTCAAAACAGGAAGGAAACATTCTGGAGCAGGCCCACTAATAATTAATAAAGTCCATGACCAAATTCTTTTGAAAGTCTTTCCAAAATTTGGTCGTCTTCTTCACGCAAGGAGAACAGCAACCTAGCAATCGGTCTTCTTCATCAGCGAACATAAACGCGAAGAAGACTCTGTAGCAACGGCATCGATTTGACCTATCATCATCTTCTCCGACTCTGACAGCGTCGGCAACGTCGATTTCTCCTCTCTCCAAGCGAACGAACAGCCCGGCAAGCAGCACCAGCAACATCCTTCTCACAGCAACCAGCTACCTGCGATTGAACTGGCCACTTTGGATCTCAGCATCAATTTCCTACAGCGAATGGCTCCAGCAACATAAATCGGCCCATCATCTTCTCCGGCCAGCAGCACCATCAGTCCAGCGGCAAGTAAGAGGAACGACGACCTGCTCTCGGTGTTGTCCGCAATCAACCAAAACTTTTCTTCTTGCACGGAACTGCAACAGGGCAAGAGCAACCGAGACAGAGATAACATCACCTCTTTTTCTGAAATTCCGAATAGATAGCAACCAGCTTCATCTTATGGTCAACGAACAAGGTGAATATGGAAGAAATTGGCAGCATTTGTAGCAATGGATCTAGTTTTTTTTCTCGGCAAACATGGGGATAAAAAAAAAAAAAAAAAAAGACAGCAGCATGGCATAAATCACCTACCTCCGACGGCAACGACGGGCAGCGGCTCCCTTATATTAACAGAAATTGTCCTAAATAGGACTAAAAAGTTCCTAAAAAGCACAAATAGGACTACTATTTTTAAAATTCCCTAAATAGGACTAAACATTGATTTTCTACCCTAAATACCCCTAAGAGTATTAATTCATAATGAAATGCTTTAATTCATAATAAAATCAGAAAAAACGTAAAAAAATATTTAAAAAACGTAAAAAAATTAAAAAAAAAATTATAAAACATTTATAAAATAAAAAATTTAATTTTTTATTTTTTTAATTTTTTTAAAAAAATAATAAAAAATAGTAAAAACCCATAAAAAATGAAAAAAATTATGGATACCTTTCTCACCGCCTCCCGCCGCCTCCCAGCACCACCACCTCCGATTGGTGAAATTTCTTCCACTTTTGGTAAAAAAATGCCATATTTTTCTGAAAATGCCAAAAAGATGGCATAATTACTCTTCAATATGCCAACATTTTCATTGATTATGCCATCATTATGGCATTATTTAAAATGTTGGCATATTTTTGTCCGGTGATGGGAGATGGTGGTGTTGGGGGTGGCAGGGGTGGTAATGTGTATTTTTTAATTTTATGATTTTTTTATTTTTTTTTTATTTTTTTTTTTTGAAATTTTTTTTTTTATTTTTTTTTATAAAATATTTTTATTAATTTTCTATTATTTGTTTTACGATTTTTAGTATTTTTTTCGATTTTTATTAAATTTTTTATGATTTTATTATTAATTAAAACATTTCACAAGTTACAAGGGTATATTTGTCCAAACACACATAAATAGTCCTATTAAGGGAATTTAAAAAATGTAGTCCTATTTGTGCAATTTTTCCACTTTTTAGTCCTATTTAGGGAATTCACTCATTGCGAATTCTTCTCTGAATTGATTAATGATCTGCAGCATTGAATTATTCAAGGACAACTTTGACAGCAGCTTGTCTTCACATAATATCTCTTAATCGGCAGAATTGTCCCTGCAACTAAAAATAAAGGAGGCCAAAGATGTAGAAAAGATGAAAAGAAAATGAATTACCTCTCTTTCAAACTCTCTGCCTCCGAAGCTCTGCCTATAGTTTCCTACGCTATTGATGGGTTCTATTTATAAGGATGGTGACTGGTGAGCTCCGTAGAGTTTTAAGAGAACTCGTTTCTGGCTGGTAGTATTTAAATCTAACATGGATGTTTTTTTAGAATCCCACTTGAACACCACCTTTGCTTCGAATGTTTATTTGGGATGCACATGAGCCTGCAATTGCTTTATTTAAGATGGACGGATCAGATATTAAATGGGCCATGTTAAATTTACGATGCCATATCATTAGCTTTATGCAATGGCTTTGATATTATTGGGATAAAGAAGCAAGGATTGAAAAAAAAATGAACTTGCAATTATCGAGACATGCCCGTCCTTCTCTGAGCGAAAAGTCCAAGCAAGTCTCGAGGGGGCATTTGTGGATATTGAAAATTATTTTATATTATGGACTTATTATTCTATAATAGTCCATAATATCATTAAGCCCTTTTAAATGCTACCGGACTACTATCCTGCTTTATGGCCCAAAAGAAAAATATTAATATGGATCTGCTTGGATAAATTTAATGATTAAATTAATTTGGGTCATAAAATATCCAATTAATTTAATTATAAATTAAATCTTGGAAAGAATGGACCGGTCCTATTAATCTTGAGCCCATTGTCAAATAGCGGCCCAATATATAAGAGATATGATCCAATTAAAGAGGGCAACGAATCTGGTTAAGAAATGTGTCCATATGCATGAAAAATAGCTCCGAATCTTGTTAAGAAAGCTGTCCAGATACATTGTACAAGTGCTGATTTTTCTGGCTATTAAATACAAGCAAATAGAGCCCAAAGCCCATTTTAATTAGGGCCCAAATAATATGGACGAATTTTGGGAACCCTAAGCCCTATTTTCACCCCATCCACATCTATAAATAGGGGTCTCAGTTGAGAGAAAGAGAGGAGAACTTCCAGACGAAGAAACGCTGCAGCAAAGCTCTGAAGAACTCCCGAAAGGCTCTGAAGGATTCCGAAGAAGAGGAAGAGATCAAGCCACGTTTTTTTGTCAAGAATATATGATTTCATTTATTCTTGATCAAACAAAGCAAAAAGTTGAAGAGCGTTCGAAGATCTGAAGAACGAAGCTTGAAGATTCGAAGATCTGAAGAACGAAGCTTTGAAGATTCGAAGATATGAAGAACGAATCTTTGAAGATTTGAAGATATTCATATGAAGATTGAATCAATATTCAATTGAAGATCAAGCCATATATCCCGGGAAGCCCTTTAACAGAAGATCAAGCCACATAACGGCCCTTTTGTTGAAGATCAAGCTACTTGAAACCGGAGGCCCTTCAATATTGAATTTTGCATTCAAGAAGATTTGAAGATCTGAAGAACGAAGTTCGAAGATTCGAAGATCTCAAGAACGAAGATTCGAAGAATCGAAGAACGTTCGAGTTTTTGAAGAATTAGAGATTTAATTTTAAATTAAATTCTTTAATTATATTCATATCAAATTGCAAGTGAAGAATCAGAGGATTCATATTTAGAGATTGTACTCAATATTTTCATATATTATTATTTGCGATCAATTTTAAGTAAATACTTAAAATTTGTTTCACAGCATGTTCCGGGTGTTACACTAGTTATGGGAGTATCAATTAGTTTTACATCTAAAGGAAACAATCGAGCAACAAGAAACCCAGATGGCCTCATATATATACTCCGTTTTACCCTACCACCCCCTCGTCATCTACCGCAGAGCCAGAGATCGATGGGGAATCTTAATAAGCTAATTCGTCTCTGAGAATTGAGAGCTATATTTATATTTATCCTGTTTTCATAATTACGGGGTATATTCTTATATTCTCGATCTCTGATCCACGAATTGAAGGTATGGCGGCGCCCAGAATTAGCGGGGGTTCTGTTACGGACGATCCAAGCCGTGGAGAGTTGCGTATCAGAATGACCATCACTAGAGTGGTGATGATTTCGCCTTCTGGTGGTTCGCGGCCCGTCACGGTGGGGAATATTTCCTCCACCGTTATCGTTGATCCTGAACTGATTTTTTCTTCCCCGGACGGCGTTTCTTCTACGATTTCCGCCGATCTCATCAGCCAGTTCAACGTCAACCCTGTCACCGCCTGGCAGAGGGCTCGCCGGCTAGTCAAGTTCGCTCTTAGAATTATTCGCGGAGGTTGTTTGCGTTTCCCATTTTTCATGAACATCGTCTTGGAAACACTGCCAGATCCTCCGTCTCCTCTGCCAGAACCGCCGTCCCCTCAGCGTCTGCCGGCATCAGTTCATCCGCCTCCTTTGCCGCCGCCGCCAACACATTTTCGGCACCATCCGCCGCGGCAAACAGATTTTCCGCCACCTCCGCCGCCAATACTTTCTCGGCCGCCTCCGCCGCCAATACTTTCTCGGCTACCTTCGCCTCCGCCGCCTCCTCCTCCTCAGCCGTCGCAGGCTGGGTATTTGCTCGCCACCATGGAGGTGCTTATTGAGATGGAATTTGGCCGTCTTGGGTTGGGACCGCCGCTTGAGGCGATTCAGGCGCTTGTTGACTCAATATATCATCGTTATTATTACGAGATCAGTGAGCGGGAGAGTGCATTCTCAGCAGCCGCCATCGCCGCCGCTGGCAACATCTCAACAGGGCTGTCGGCGATTGAGATTTCCAATTTGAAGACGGAGAAGTTTGACGGCAACACAAATGGTGAATTGTGTTCTGTCTGTCTGGCCGAGTACAAGGAAGGCGACGTTATCACGCCGTTAGAGCCGTCATGTTCGCATATCTTCCACAACGAATGCGTCGTTAAATGGCTGAGGAAAAACCGGAGATGCCCTCTTTGTCGATCGCAAGTGGTGATTAACCACAATTAAGTTTGACGTAGTAATTAATGACTGTTATTGAGTTCTAATTACATACGCACGTAATTAGACTCCTAATTACATACACACGTATTTTGCTATTTTTGACGTAATAGTTATTGAGTTCTATTTTTATACGGAGTACATCGGAAAACGGATAAGGGTTTAATGCACGCTCTCTCGTGATATAGAAATTCAGCGCATTAATTCCTTGTGATTTAAAAAATGTGTTAAACTTGTGTTTTAGTCAATCATGCACAAAACTCTCTATAAATAAATTTAATGTTTTGAAAATCATTTTTCGTAATATTCTAATTGAATATGCAAGTAAACATGTTTCAATCTCTAAATCATAAAAAATGTTAATCATTTTTTCTTTTATTTGATATTTAAATTTGTTAATAGAAGGGATTTTGCGCACGATTAATTAAAACACAAGGGAATTTGACGCATTTTTTAAATCACAAGGGGCTAATGCGCCGAAAATCTATATCACAGTGGTGTTTGGTGCATTAAACTTGTACAGATACGTTGATATATAGGGCATTTTTTTATCATATATGTAGTAACTAACAATTATATTAAATCAACAAAATGTTCGTCACTTGTCTGCCAATACAACATGGATAAAACAGGAAACAAACGATAAAAAGTCATATGTCTGTCGTCCGTCCTTGAACCAAACTTGAATCCATTTTCTTCGTAGAAGTAATAAGATTCGTTAATCCTATAATGGGCTTAAGTGAGTCAATGATAGGCAAACTAGACTTCTCATCACCTGACTTAAAATCTAGAATCTTTCTGATAGGAAATAAGAACACACCCATAACAACATGCATTTCGAAAGAAAAACACAAACATCATAAAACAGAATTAAAACAGAGCTCACTCATCTTCTTCCAAACTTGGATTCTCTTGCACTCCATGGAGGCGGCTCGGGAGGGGGACGATCCCCCGAAAACGACTGCTCCATGAGGTCCACAACATCCTCCCCATCAAGCACCAGTTTGTCATCCTCAGCCCTGATCTCCCAATCGTCGCACTGCCTAATCAACTCTTCCAAACTATCTTGCGTCGTATCTACCTCATCCCCATCTAGTCGTAACCCGTCTGCCATGGCCTTGTTCGCGATCTCCGCTATATATAAGGTATATTTTGTAAATATATATAATCCAAAGCTTTATAAATAAAATAATAATAGTACCAAAAAATTAATAATCATAACAATATTTCAAAGCATTTGCATTTAAAGTATGAAATAATTACATAAATATGGCCAAAATAAAGATGTTTTACAAAAATATGACTAGTTACTAAAGTAGTAATGAAATCATAGTAATTCATGTTCAAAGTTTTGAACTTAAGTTACCACAACACTACGTTGTAGTAATGAACAATCATATTTATGTAAATAAATTTTATTTTAGTAATATTCTTGTAAAAAACCTTTAAAGTATTGATTCACTGTTTCCATTTACATTTATGTCTTTTAACAAGACTAATTTTGATCTAGGCTCATCACATGACAATTGGTAAATCAAGTATTCTGATACCTTCAATACTCCAAAAAAAATTGTACAAATGTCGCACATCTTATACTTCAAATTTACATAACAAACACAATTAATTTAAAGGTGAATTGGATTGAAACTTATTAATTGTATGAGAGAGAATAAGATAGGTCAATACTTTACTCGGTAAGAGATGCAGTTGAGGAGTGAGAAGTTGTAATCACCTAGGCGTCACTCTATTCTTATCACGTCATGTATGAATTTTGGGTTATAGGGTTAGATACGTGTATCAGTCCATAAATACGTGTATCAGAAGTATTTATATATTTTTAAAGCCCAATATTTTATTAAATTACATATATGAACTTAACACGTACATGACATGTATTGCCTAGTAACGATATCAGATACATATCAGATACGTGGATACAACGTCAATGTCAGGTATCGGTGCTCTATAGGGTCACCGATGTCTCAACTACGTATTAATATTTGGAATGACACTGTGATTTTAAATTAATTATAATTAAGTGCTCCTGAAAGCATAAAATAATATTCATAATAAGGTATAAATGTATAATTAATTAATGTAATAGTATTATGTTGAATGCGGGCTTTTAACAAATGTGATAGGATCTTATGAGTAATTCTAAATACAATCATATATTTACTTCTAACAACTCTATATATAAATTCATCGTAAGAAAATTGATTTGCTTTTACGAATTTACCCTTAGTCATATAGTTTACTTTTCTACTGCATAAGAAGCTCGTCGAATATTATCTTCAAGGACTCGAAGATATGGTGGAGGCTACGGTGGTGAATATCCTGAAGGAGGTGGTGACGGGGCTTAACATGATAATCATCGCGAAGGTGGTGACAAATGTTACGACAACGACAAAAGTTATGGCAGTGTACATAACCTTACCGATGCTTTGATAGCAATGGTGGCGGTGAATGCTATGGCAATGACGATTCGAAGAGGTTAATACTCCAACACCGATCGTCTCGTTGGTTGAAGTCTCACCGACGACCCTCTTAGAGCTTGTCAAATGGAATATTTTAATTAATGTAGGAGTCACTCATGATTTGATATAAAGTTGTAGCCGGTTAGGAACTACTTATGAAAAAATGACCCCTTAAGATCACCTAAAAATAATTATTAGCCCGTTTTAGATTATTATTTTGAGTTTTTCGTACAAAATAAAGCTTGACTCAAACTCTCCTTTAAACAAAGCTTGACTCAAACTCTGAGAGTCAATATCAGAGTTGAGATCACCACTTGCCATCAGCATCCAACTCAGTCCCAGCAATCACTTGGCTAAATTCTTATTGCATGCTGCTAACTAGCGAGCAATAAATCAAAGATTACACAACAAAACTACGAAACAGTCCACATCGCTCGAAGTGAATCCATCACTCTCCTAGCATTTGCATTAATTCGGGCTTTCTTGACTTTTGCGGGTAATTTGAGTTCTTATTTGATTTTTCCAGGGGTTTCTGAGTTGTTTCAGTGAAGCTTTATTTTCCTTATTTTAGTTAAGTTGTTCTGATTTGATGTCCTTGTTTCCCTGATTTTCTCGGCTCTTGGTGTTCTTTGACATTTTGAGTAAGGCTTTATCTTCTCTATTATAATGACATTCTAATGCTAATTTCGAACTGGCGCTGACTTGTAGATGAGCTTAGATCATCATATTTCTTTTAGTTTTAATAAGGAATAAGATGAAACCTAATAAAGTTCCAATCTTTATATGTAAATGCATTTGATTTTGTTTCGTGAAGTTTCCTGTCTAAGGTTTTTAGATCCTATCAGCAAGACTAGCAAGACAAAATATCAGCCAAATTCAGACCAAAAAGCAACTCCAATCTTGCTCCTTTTCATTGATAAACAAATCAACTCGTGGGACGAAAAAAATAGTGCTTTGTAATCAGTCCGGCTAAAAGAATGGTAAGCTAAAAAATATGGTCACCATAAGGGCACTTTCCCTCACTTCCAAAAGGATTTGTATGCTTCCAAAAGGATTTGTATGCTTTTTAATTTGTTCCAATTTTCTTTAATAACTAATTTATTGATTTGCAACATGATCTAATCTAAAACTAGTAATTTTTCTCACATTGTAATAATTCCGAAAATCTTGTTTATGAATACCATTTTAAATCAAAAAAGAATCATAATTCATTAACTTGCAGAATATTCTGCGATTAAGGGAATGCTGATGAAAAGTTCTTCATAACCGCACTGAAGATGGGGAGAGAGAGACATGGCTCCAAGAGGGAAGAAAGAGGGGGAGGAGGCTATGTTGGTGGCTTCCTTCAACTTTTTGACTGGAATGCAAAATCAAGAAAAAAACTGTTTTCCAAGTCTGATTCACCTGGTAAGTTCAACATATATGGTGATGATCATGGTGAATGTGCTTTTTTTGCATTTTCCCTATGATCTTATTAATCCTGTCGTATGGCTGAAAGCTTATTAAAGTGAAATTTCTTGTGGTTCTTGTAGAGCATTCCACAATGAAAAAGAGATGTGATGGGATTTTTCCGATGACTCGATATGATGTGGTCAGTGTGAAGTTAAGCGCATGCTTGTCACGGCGGTAAGTCGAGTCGCGGCGCCAGCTGACCGCCATATCGCCTAGGAGACAAGGCGCCCGCCTAGGCGACAATTAGGCGACTAGTTGCCTATCTGTATATATTATATTATATATATTTAATTATATATTATGTATAACATATTACTAACTAAAATGTATATAACTTAGAATTGAAATCCACAATTAATAATTAAAAACAAGGTTTATTAATGGAAATTAAGATTAAAAATGTATATATCAAATAAGCAGCGTAAAGATCAAAGTATCAAAGTACTAATTTCTCAAAAATCATCAAGGACTAAATCATCTCTACGGCCTTCATTGCCCTGATCATCATCATCATGAGTAGGAGTGGGTGGTGTTTGGCCATAGTCATCTTCAACATCTTCATCATCATTTGGAAAACTTTCTTCTTCGTTGTTCATGTCTTCATCAATCAACCTTAATGATGAATTTAAACCACGACATCGAGAATAAACCGATTCTACACGAGCTACTACAGCTACTAGTTCTAGGAAGATAACGACTCTGAAGATTGCTTGATGCACCCACAACTTCATCAACTTGACTCCAAAGAAGATCATCATCGGGATTAGCAACGTCATTGCTGACCCATTCATTGTTCCATTGGAAATCTTCATATATTAAAGGGTTGAAGTTTGTTCCTTCTTCACGCCGCTTCTGAAATATGGTCGCTATCTTCCGATTATATTAAATAAAAACCAAGTCATTCAACCTCTTATGCTCCAACCCGTTTCTTCTTTTTGTATGAATCTAAAATAAAGATAAAACACATATTTGATAAGTGTTTTGATTTAATTAGTTAAAATCTTGTGTAATTTAAAAAATGTAGTTAGTATTCAAAATTGTAAGTCTATTACTTACAAACTCAAAAGTGCTCCAATTACGCTCACAGCCAGAAGAGGTACAACATAGACCAACTATGCGTTTTGCGAACGATTGCAGCTCAATAGCGAGTCCACCAAAAGCATCCCACCAATCAACTATAAACTAATCAGAAATAAAATATTAATTAATTTTTAATATGTTTAAAGTTTAAACTAATTTTTAAATATAATAAAAAGTATCACTTACGAGGACTCTTAGATTTTTGTTGCTTAATTGCGAGCTGCTTTGCAAAGCTTCCTCTCAAT